TATTTATTGCTTTGCCCTTTTTTTTTAACTTTTACTTAATTATCTATTGGACCACGACTTTGTACTTCTACTTGAGTAATACTATTTTGAAGTAGCGTTCCTTGTGTACTCTTACTTGTGTACAGTTTTGTGTTTACTCTCGCCCCTGTGTCTCGGGTGCCACAGTCTTGCCTCCCCTCGCTCTTGGATGAAAGCTCCACTCGTCTCTTCAGGCTGGAGAGAGTGGGATCTGGCCCAGCGGAGGCTTAAGAGGGCTGGGGACTTTTGAGGCTTCGAGTGCCTCCTCCAGTCTGGGTGGTGGTTCTGGCTCTGTCCACACCGCCACGAAGACTTCATTTACCCAGCTGTCGTATTCAGAGGGAAGATAAGAGTTTTTATGTCTGTAATGAACAAGTCTGACCTGAGTTTGTAATGAATAAAGCCGAACGTTGGTGTAAACACTCAGTCTTTGGAAAGCAAAACAAGTGACACAATGATTAAGATTTCCTTAAAGGCACATTATGTAACATTTCTGATGGAAGATCAATTATCCTGCTTGTGCTTGTAGAGAAGTGTTCCAGATTTCTTATTACTATCTACGTAGTTATCTAATTACAGGCGATTTAGTGAGATTGTCCCTCAACAACTTGTAACTTGTCCTGGTTGCATGGAGATAGATATGTTTAATGCCACATTGTGAAACATTCAAGGCAAAACAGGAAACAGTACTCCCTGAGGAATGGCAGCAAACCCTCCATCAGAAACAATTACCATATTTTCTGCACTATTAGGCGCTCTGGATTATAAGGTGCACTGTCATTAAATGGTCTATTTTCGAACTTTTTTTCACAAATAAACCGCACCGGACTTTTAACGAAACACAACAGTTGGATGGGTGAGTGGTTTTGTTTGTTTGTGGCGTTCACGGTGACTCTGGGCTTTGTTCAGTTGTGGCGTGTAGGGAGGGTGCTGTCTGGGACCACTGGATTGTCGGCGAGTTCGCAGTGACTTAGTTGTTCAGTTGTTTCTAAAAGTGGCACATTGCACTCGCTTTTTCGGTTCGTTCCTCCGTTCCATTCCTCGTCAGTGATGCCACTAACGAGCTACTTAGTAACGCGTTACTGTAGTCCGACTACTTTTTTCAGTAACGAGTCGTCTAACACAGTGCTATTTCCAAACCAGTAGTCAGATTTAAGTTACTCATCTAATACACTGTGCGTTACTATTTTTACATTTCAGGGCAGCGTAAGTTATTTATTTATTTTTAATTTTTGGCAACGTGGGTTATGTGACCCCAAAGATCGTATAAATCATCTCTGCTGACACGTTTCCTATGATTTTACGTCATCTCTGCTCCGCCACGAGTCAGATGTAAACAAAGGAGGGAGTGAGGTACGACTTTTGCAGCTGGAAATACAAACATTATTTTGATTTTATTTCAGCCAAGGATGACAACATAAAGGTTCTGTGCTGGCGACAAAGTGTTGTCTGCCTTCAAGAAGGGGGTGGGGAATCAGTCGCTGCTGAAAGTAACTAATAAAGTAACTTGTAATCTAACTTAGTTACTTTTAAAAGCAAGTAGTCAAGGCGCATTCATCCGACCTACACGTTATCAACAAGCCACAAACGTCACTATTCTGAGCTGAAGTAGGCGAAAATTGTTAATGAACTCCGTGTCACTGAAGCGAAGCACATCACCACTCACCACTCTTGGCTCCGTCTCCACATCCACACGTTCCTTTCAATGGATGTTGCTGCCAATGTCCCACAAAACACCACGACCAAAAACCTCGTCCTTCTCCTTCTCAATCTCCTCTTTAAAACAAGTAAGTTGTTCATGTTCTGGCTCCGGTAACGAGAGGAACTTTAAAATCTCCAGGTTCTCAATGCTCGTGTCCATGTTTGGACAACTTCCGTAAACACAGATCACGCTCGCTGCGTCGTCGTGTCTCCAGTGCACATGCGGGACACTTTCGGGCCATTTAATGTTCACACTGGAGTCACATACAAGTCACATTTAATTGGAAATGTGAACGACCTCGCAAAAACATCGGATTTCACAAAAAAAATCCAAATTTAGCATTAAGCCTTGCAGTCTGAATGTAGCATTTGTTACTTTTTAAAGAAGTAATCAGTAGTCAGTAGTCAGATTACTATTTCAAAGTAACTATGGCAACACTGTTCCTCGTCCTCGTGGAGTGATGAGTGTGTCTGCGGGTGTTTTTCGCTGCGCGGTCGCTGTCTGCTCCGTGCGTGTTTGCGTGCGCTGCGTTTGGTGTGGCTTTGTAGTTCACTGAAGTCGTGTCGGGACACCCGAGTGGATTCGTGTATGGGGTGCTCTGGATTGCGGGGCGCACAGTCGTTTTTCGATGGGGTTGGAGGCTTAAGAGTGTGCGGAAAATACAGTACATCCTTTAAGAAACCAAAACGGTACAATAAAACTGAGATTTGGCGACCTTTAATGCTTTTTAAAGAGCATTATTCATTCACTCCACACGGTAAACTATTATTGTAGCCACTGCTGCCCTGGGACAGACTGACATAAGTGAGGCTGCCGCTCTGCAGTCCCTCCCAATGTTGCAATTTAGGCTGATAGTCAGTTAAGATTCAGATTAATATTATAATTTATTTTATATGTATTGATTGCTTGTTACAGCATATTTAGGGTTACATTACAGTACTATATTTGATAATTTGTACTTAATGTAATTTTATGTATAGCCAATAGGAGCTGACACTTTGAGTTCACGCATGGATGTAAGGGAAATCCGTTACTTTGTTTTTGCTTGGGTGAGAACTTCAGCAAAAAAACGGGGCGAACACACTGTTTTCTACCGTCGTTAAAACCTAAACAGGAGTAGACTCCATCTGAAAGTGGTTAATTTCATGAATACGCAAAAGGAGAACACACCAGATTCATAGGCCTGGTGGATTTAGTGTCTTGCCTAAGGACACCGTAAGTAGTATCTAATTTAATTTACATGCTGTCTCAAACCGTGGCCTCTAGACACATTTGGACACTGCACACAGACTGTTGGGCCCATCGCCTCTAAAGCTCATTCAGGAACATGTTTCATTTGTTGTAGTGTGTAGTAGTGTTCCATTCTACACACAAGGACATGTCTATCCTCCAGTGAAAGACTCTTGAGTCTAGAAGCACAAACAGCTCAGCCACGCCGTAACTCCCCGAGGGCTGTACTTACCATCTGTACCACAGTGACATTTGTTCTGTACTTGGTATTTCACAGTTTTAAAATGCTGTAATGTAGCCTATGCTGTTTTGAAAAAGTACTACAAGCACTAAATCAAATGAACCTATGCTGCCAGTGCTTTAACCTGCAGACAGAGGACACATGCAAGTTTTTCTCGTTCACCGAATTCCCTCACTGAGCTGCAAAGGCTGCACTAGCGCTGATTCATGATGTAGAGGGTGTGACCATTCAGATCAGGAGAGAGAGAAAGGGAACAGTGTGATTGGTCTAACAGGTATCCACACTTTAAAGTCGGCCCCTGCAGATGTGTGTAACTGAAGTGACCACTGAAAACACTTTGCTTATGACGACAAAGAGGCGGTAACAACATTATAACATGATTTAAAGCTCACGACAGTCAGTTTTGCGTAATGCAGGACCTCTAAATGTAGAATCATCCCTTAAGTAAGTAAGTAAAGAAGTAAAAAGTAAAGTTGGTAAAGTAAGTAAGTTAAGTAAGTTAAGTGAGTAAGTAAAGTAAAAGTAAGTTAAGTGAGTAAGTAAAGTAAGTAAGTAAGTTAAGTGAGTAAGTAAAGTAAGTAAAGTAAGTAAAGTAAGTAAGTAAGTGAGTAAGTAAAGTAAGTAAAGTGAGTAAGTAAAGTAAGTAAAGTAAGTTAGTAAAGTAAGTAAAGTAAGTAAAGTAAGTTAAGTGAGTAAGTAAAGTAAGTAAAGTTAAGTTAAGTGAGTAAGTAAGTAAAGTAAGTAAATTAAGTTAAGGAAGTTAGTAAAGTAAGTAAAGTAAGTAAGTTAAGTTGCTTATGATGACAAAGAGGTGGTAACAACATTATAACATGATTTAAAGCTCACGACAGTCAGTTTTGCATAATGCAGGACATCTAAATGTAGAATCATCCCTTAAGTAAGTAAAGAAGTAAAGTTGGTAAAGTAAGTAAGTTAAGTGAGTAAGTAAAGTAAGTAAAGTAAGTAAATTAAGTTAGAAAGTAAGTAAAGTGAGTTAAGTAAGTTAAGTGAGTAAGTAAAGTAAGTAAAGTAAGTTAAATAAGTTAAGTGAGTAAGTAAAGTAAGTAAAGTAAGTTAAGTAAGTTAAGTGAGTAAGTAAAATAAGTAAAGTAAGTAAAGTAAGTTAAGTAAGTTAAGTGAGTAAGTAAAGTAAGTAAAGTAAGTTAAATAAGTTAAGTGAGTAAGTAAAGTAAGTTAAGTGAGTAAGTAAAGTAAGTAAAGTAAGTTAATTAAGTTAAGAAAGTAAGTAAAGTAAGTAAGTTAAGTGAGTAAGTAAAATAAGTAAAGTAAGTAAGTTAAGTAAGTTAAGTGAGTAAGTAAAGTAAGTAAAGTAAGTTAAGTAAGTTAAGTGAGTAAGTAAAGTAAGTAAAGTAAGTTAAGTGAGTAAGTAAAGTAAGTAAGTAAGTTTTTATTCATTCATTTCATTTATTTGTTTGTTTGAGCCAGGTACAACAAAATTCAGAAACAATAACAAAACTAGTGATATGTACATGAACATATTTGGGACTTGGTGCTCAAAAGGAGTAGGATGAAGTTTAAAAAACTTACAGAATCCTACCCCAATTGTTTTACATAATCACGTGGTTCACTATATATATATATATATATATATATATATATATATATATATATATATATATATATATATATACCTTACCTGTCATTATGCAGACATATACACACATGTATACAAAAACATAAGGTGTAATGTGTGTTCGTCTGTTTGTGAGATAATGACGACGCCATATTGCAGTATCATATCTCTGTATCGCTGCTCTCGGGTTAATCCTGCTTCATTTGTGTGCACAGGATGGTGGAGTACTCCCTGGACCTACAGAACATCAACCTGTCCGCCATCAGGACGGTGAGGGTACTGCGGCCACTCAAAGCCATCAACAGAGTGCCAAGTAAGTGCCCCCCGCTGCTTTTTGTGTTTGGTGTTGGCAAATGGGTATGAAAAGTGGCGAAAAAAGTGAGATGGTCCTATTGATTTGGAATTGCTGGGTTTCTGATGACATCTCGACGTTCTGAAAGCCATTTGATACTTTGCAGCCGATGTTGCTCTGTTACTACTTAGACTTTAATTTGAGCTTCATTTTAACACAATCTGATAATAAAGAATTGATTTAGTTGGTTTGGTTTGTTGCAAATCAAACTCCTAAATAGGACCTTAAACCCTCGTATTGAGCACAGGCTCCTTAAAATGTGCTGTTTAAATCCATTTTGTGTTTTTTCTTGAGTTTTCAGACCGTTAAAAAAAAAAAAAAAGATAGCAGGAAACAACATTATAACATGACTTGAAGCTCAAAAGAGTACATTTTGTGTAATATGGCCCTTTAGTATTCGGATTCTATTCAAAGTTCACATTTTAAATCCGTCCAGAAGAATTGACAAAAGACCGAAATATGGGCTGACAATCTAAAAGGACACTTCAGAACATATCGTAGAGATGGGAAATTGTGCATAACAGGACATAATATTTTGTTGTTTGTGGAGGAAATCATGGTACTTCAAAATGTGCAGCTTTTAGATTTGATCATTTCGATTCACATTGAAAAGCACCTTTTGAAAGCGGCCTGAAAATGTATTTGGTATAGTATTTTGTACTAATGTCGAATAGAAATCCAAATGATTCTTCAAAGAGTTTAATTTTTAAGGTGAAAATATTCAAGTTAAAAGTAAAAAAATCATCATTCTTACTTTGAGCCAGTTTGGCCTCTCCGTAGATCTGACCTGTAACTTGGTGTGGTAGTTTGATTATTAAATTTAGCGCCATCGGTAGGTGACGGTGGTCCACATGCTGACAAATGACAACTGCCAGAGTGACACTGACCTGACTTCAAAGTTTCAGTTTTGTCCAGACAAAAGTATAACAGGTAGGGCTCCGAAAATTTAAAAAAAAAAAAAAGGTTTAATGAAAAATACTGAGCTCATAATTGACCGTTGGCAGTTTTATTTGTCAGTTCCTGTATCTGCCTTTGTATCATGAGCCAAAAATAAGGAGTCGTGCAAAGACAAAACTAACATGATCATTATTTGCTTGATGTTCTCCAGACTTCCATCCACTATAAGAACACCTCACCAAGGCCGAGTCATCATCGAGTTTGTTTGAAATGATCTCGAAGAGCTTTGGATTTCCTGTTTAGCGCTGATCACGATCGTACAGCGACACTTACACAGTTAAACTGTTTGACAGACAAGTTACTTTGCAACATAGTGTGTACAGTATGAATAAATACACAAAATACTTTCACATTAAGTTTAATTGAATACAAAGGTGTAGTTATTTAATGTGTCAAGACCCTGTACCACAGCTGCAACAAAACGAAGGAGGCGAGAGGTTGGCTTTTAAACTAAAATATATTTCTCAACTAAATCACAAACAAAACATACACTGCCTCTGCCTTTTTTCTTTGCACGACTCCTTATTTTTGGCTCATGATACAAAGGCAGATACAGGAACTGCCAATTAATGGTCAAAGGGCAATTTGGAGCTCAGTATTTATTCACATGATAAAGGAGGTCTCAAATACAAACAAAATTACATTAACTCATTTTTTACCAAACACGATGTTGTGGCGTTCTGACTTTGTAGGGCAGTATGGTGTAAAAAAGCCTGTAACATCTCAAATGTCCTTCTTGCACAGTCTCCATGGACACGAGAAAAACAAACTGACAAGCAACATTTCACAGAATCCAGCTGCCCCTTATGTTCATTCCCTGATAGTATTTCCTCTGAAGGTCTTCTGCCAGGTTTGCTGCCACATATGGTGTAAAAAAAAAAAACCCTGTAGCATCTCAAATAATCATAACCAGCTCTCCGTGGAAACAGAAACAACAAACATTTCACAAAATCCAACACTCCCTTACTCGTGTCTTTTGAAGCACACACACGCTGCACTTAGTCGGTTAAAATTCCATGATATGATGTTAAAAACTGAGCCATTTGTGTGTGCCGCTGTTGCTGCAAATCGCCGAAAATCTCGATATAAACCCACGCTCTCTAGCTGCAGACACATTGAGAGACACATCAGATTTCCACAGCGTTCATTAATGTGCTTTCACTCATCAGTTCGTGACCACAATCTAGTTCTTTTCATCAAAGTCTCTCTCCTTTCACCAACTTTGTAACTCCTATTGATTTCCGTGTCCAAAAAGCTCCAATTAGACCAGCCAAGCCTCCCCGCGTCAATGCTATCGCGGCGCTTTCAGAAGAATTAGCAGTTACGCCTAATTAAACGCATTGTCAAAATGTGTTGCTTTTACTCAGTTTGTCCAATTATCAGGGTAAACAAAAGTGAAAAGAGCAAATGCAGCTAATATCTAGAGAGCTAGTTGTCATTTTATTAAAGCATCAATGTTAGGTTTTTCAGTACTAGTAGCAATTTGCTTGGAAATTTCACGATGATCTCCCTGTATTAGTATTATTATTATTATTATTATTTCTTTTTACAGTCTGGTTTGCAGTCTGGTCTACACACACTCAAACACGAGCGTCCAATCAGATGTGTTTATTTCAGTGACAAATGTGAAACGAAGGAGCTCATTGGTCACTCATCTTTTAGGTTAGGTTAGTTTATTTATTCTTGCTTAGTCCCTGCCTCAAGTGGAGGAGTTCAAGTATCTCGGGGTCTTGTTCATGAGTGACGGGAGGATGGAGCGTGAGATTGACAGATGGATCGGTGCAGCGTCTGCAGTGATGCAGTCGCTGTATTGGACTGTTATGGTGAATTTACCGTTGATTTACCTGTCAAGCTACTTTGTTCCCCTCATCGTCATGAGCTCTGGGTAATGACCGAAAGGACAAGATCGTGGATACAAGGGGTCGAAATGAGTTTCCTCCGCAGGGTGGCTGGGCGCTCCCTTAGAGATAGGGTGAGGATCTCGGAGTAGAGCCGCTGTTCTTCCACGTCAAGAGGAGCAGCTGAGGTGACTCAGGCATCTGTTCTGGATGGCTCCTGGGCGCCTCCCTCGGGAGGTGTTCCGGGCATGTCCCATGTCTCTCGGCTGGCCTGGGGACGCCTTGGGGTCCTCCTGGAGGAGCTGGAGGACGTGTCTGGGGTGAAGGAAGGCTGGAAGTCCCTGCTTAGACTGCTGCCCCTGCGACCCGGCCCTGGTTAAGCAGAAGAAAATAGATGGATTTTTTGTGCTTTATTTAACCAAGATATCACGATTAGTGCAACGACACCATAGAGCATTGTTTCCCAAAGACTGAGTCGCGACGCTCAGATGGGTCGTAAGAGATTTTTTTTGGGTCACCTTGTCATGATCTGCATGTCGGTCTGCAATGTACAGTTCTGATCTGTGACCTTATCATTATTCTGGATAAGCATTTCATCAGAATATCCTGTCCTCAGTAAGGTCAGTATTTCTATGCTTATTCTTTTCACTACTACATATATGTGTGAATTTGAATTTTCTGTGCTCACAAAAATGAAGACAAAGCACACAATGCTGCTCCTGATAAGAAAACAACATTGGGAAACACTGCCACATAGAGCCTGATGTTTTACATCGACCGGAGGAGTTTGACTTCAGTTCAGTCCTGCCTTTACCAGACTGGTTGTGTGACTGAATTACTATATATAATAATATATAACTAGGCTGTATTCTCTGCACTGCGTCCGATCAGCCTCACCTTCACTGAAAAAGAAGTGGGACAGATAATGTTGTCGTGAAATCCCTATTTTGAAGTGACGTAAAAAAGAAAGTTGGTTGCAACACAGCAGGCAGGAAATGGAAGCAGTTTTTAGCAGTTTTGGTGATATTACTTCAGTTTGGCAATTCAGAGGAAGCAGGAATGTCATCATAGCTGCTGTGACGTAAGACAAAAGTTGTGGCAAAGGGGCAAAGAAAGGCAGAGGACAAGGAGGCAGGAATTATGTCAACAAGGTCGGCAAAGTAGTCGCTAGGCCATCGTATAACGGCCACGCTTCCTCCAAGTTGTGCCGTAAAACCTGTAAATTAGAGTGATACTGGTTAAAAGAATTTGAGTACCACATTTTCCCAAATTTTCTGAGTAAGATTTTTGTGAGGAAAGAATTAATCACCTGCCCCAAATTGCTGCCTGGTCTCAAATAAATGCCTGGTCTGTTAAGTGATTGAAACAAAAACAAAACGCCCCGGCTATTACTTGGTATTTTCGGCACGTTAAATACAGTTTTCTTTGTAAAAGTGAAGAGATTTTAGAATTTTTATTGCGGTTTATTGCGAGGGCCATACACAGGCACAGAAAAACTACGGCTGATGATGTTAGAAACGCATTGGAATTTGTGATCGAGAAAATTGCACTGGGGCAAATTAATATGTTGTGTACTATGGGACTGGTTTGTCAGGAATGTTTCACAGTATTACCGTATTTTCTGGACTATAAGTCGCTCTAGAGAATGAGTCACACCAGCCAAAAAATGTGTAATGAAGAAGAAAAAAACATATATAAGTCGCACCGGACTATAATTCACACTTTTTGGGGACATTTATTTTGTAAAATCACAGACCAGGAACCAACATTTCATCTTGAAAGGCAAGTTATAGTAAAAACAACAGAATATGTTAACTATTAATACGTTAATGTAACATATTAACAGTTATTCAGATAATTATAGCATAAACAATAGAACATAAGTTTACCAAACTCATGATCTCACTGTTCTCATTCTTCATAACAGTGTAGCAGTCACCTCCAGTCTTCGCTCTAAAACTTCAAATCAGGCAAGAAATCTAGGGGTAATAATGGACTCAGACTTGAACTTTAACAGTCACATAAAATCAATAACATCTGCAGCCTTTTACCATCTAAAAAACATAGCAAAAATCAAAGGTTTACTGTCTAAATCAGACTTGGAGAAACTTATCCATGCATTTGTCTCAGTAGGTTAGACTACTGTAATGTTCTGCTCACTGGTCT